GTGAAAGAAAGTGCCCCTCCCCCACCCAGCACTCCAGCTCAGTCAGCCAGAGTGCCCACACAGATAGAAAAGCAGCAGCTATGAACAAATGAGCTGCAGATCATGGTGGGCTCAGAATACACAGCCCTTGATCCCCACCCAGTGGTGGCAGGCGTGAGCTGTGGACCAGGTACTATCACTACGCAGAGGCATAAATTCACACCATTAAACAGTATGAAAAAATATATTAAATCTCCAGACCATGGGGCTGGCCCCGTGGCCGAGTGGTTAAGTTCGCGCACTCTGCTGCAGGCGGCCCAGTGTTTCGTTGGTTCGAATCCTGGGCGCGGACATGGCACTGCTCATCGGGCCACGCTGAGGCAGCGTCCCGCATGCCACAACTAGAAGGACCCACAACGAAGAATATACAACTATGTACTGGGGGGCTTTGGGGAGAAGAAGCAAAAAAATAAAATCTTAAAAAAATAAATAAATAAATAAATAAATCTCCAGACCAGAAGGAAAATGACAAGCACCCAGAAATCAATCCTGAACTAACAGAAATTTATAATCTAAGAGACAGAGAATTCAAAATAGCTATCATAAATGACTCAAAAACCCACGAGAAAATACAGATAGTTCAATGAAATCAAGAACTTATTCATGAAAGAGATTGAAACTATAAAGAAGAACCAATCAGAATTGTAGGAGATGAAAAACACAATAAATGAGATAAAGAAAAATCAGGACTCCCTGAATAATAGAGCTGATATTATGGAGGAACAAATCAGCAGTCTGGAGGACAAAAATATAGAAATGCTTCAGATGGAGGAGGAGAGAGAATTAAGACTAAAGAGAAATGAAGAAATTCTCCAAGAAATACCTGACTCAGTTAGGAAATGCAACATAAGAATTATAGGTATTGGTGAGGGAGAAGAGAAGGAGAATGGAGCAGAAAGCTTGTTCAAAGAAATAATAGCTGATAACTTCCCAAACCTGGGTAAGAAGCTAGAAATACAAGAGAAAGAAGTCAATAGATCTCCTAACTATATCAATGTAAAAAGAGCTTCTCCAAGGCATATTGTAGAAAACCTGGCCAAGATCAACGACAAAGAAAAAATATTAAGGGCAGAAAGGCAGAAGAAAATAACTTACAAAGGAACCCTTATCAGACTTTCAGTGGATTTCTGGGCAGAAACCTTACAGGCCAGGAGATAGTGGAATGATACATTCAAAATTCTGAAAGACAAAATCTTTCAGCGAAGAGTACTCTATCCAGCAAAAATATGCTGCAGATATGACGGAGAAATAAAAACTTTCTCAGATAAACAAAAGATAAGGGAGTTCATTGCCACAATACACTCCTTACAAGAAACATTCAATAAGGACTTCATACCTGAAAAAAAAAAAAAAAGCATGGGGTTACAAAGCCTTGAGTAAGGTGATATAATTTCCACAGTCCACAGGTAGTTACTTCGTGTGCTTTGTTCAGTTTTACTTGTAATCAGTGGGAAAGATGGACTCTGGGTTTCCTAAAGCTATCTCCTATTCCACTATGTTCCTGCATTAACCTCTGGGTCTCTCTAGCATTCATGAAGAATGGTCATTTGCCATTTTTTCCCCACTATCATTTTTATTATCTTCTTTTAATTAATCTCCTCCAGTTTATGTATTTGTAAATGTGTTTTTCTCATCAAGATTATTAGAATCATCTGATTAAGAACTTGATTTTCTGGGTCTTTCACCTCTCTTTGTCCAAACTAATGAAGCTTTTTCTGGTGCTAGAAAATGAGTGCTTGCTTGTATTTACCCAAGCTTCAAGGACTGCATTTTTTCTCCTAAAATCCAAAAATTTCTGAATTTTTCATCAATTCCCAAGAGCGTGATAAGGCATGGTGCAACTTCTCAAAGCCTATGTTTTCTCAGTACCTAAAACAAAGGTATAACAGAGATTTTCAATTTGCTCTTCTCTCTCTAATTTTTAACAATTTCTTAATTTTTTCGTGTTTTTCATGTTTCATGTTTATTTCAGAACACCATGATTTGTGGTGTTCTGGACTGTGATGGGCTCCTTAATCTTTCTGGTAATCAATATATTTCTTAGAATCCTGTCAACATCTTTAAAGGAGAATATTATATTTCTGACCTTATTCTTCCTCAGCTATGAGACATTGCTTCTACTACCATTGAAGATTGGAGAATTCCTTTGCATTCTTCCAGGGCAGAGGAAACAGCATTGTTTCAATTCATCAAAATCCTTTGGCTTTTGACTTTGTATTTCTTGGGCTTTGCCAATGCCCAGCAAGCTTGACAGGAACTACAATGACTACCAGCCTGAAACCAGCAGCAATTGCTCTTCATAGCTTATTTTTGACTACTTGTTTCCTGTCCTAACTTTAATCCTCAACCTGATCCTATCTGTTCTCTGTATTTTGGAAATATGTGTAAACTTCTCATCTCCAGATGATCCCTATTCTTTTAACTCTTATGGATTTTGCTTTATTCCCTTTTGTATTTCTATACTTTTAACTATGAGAAAGTTTGGAAGAGATGGGAGGTAAGGATATGGCCCAAGAATCAGAAGTTCACACTCATTGACCGCAAATTCACAAATTGACAGCATTACTAAATTTTCTATGTGTGAGATAGTCTTGACAGGAAGCAACAAATGAATGAAGAACCCAAGGAGATGACTGAGATCATGATCCTGGAATCAAAGAAAAGTATTCTGACTTTTGTCAAAGAGCCCCATTGGCCTCGGAGAAAACAGAGACTTTCTCCATTCTAAGGTTTTCAGAGATTCCTCTCTTGTTGTGGTTGTATGTCCTTTAGCCACACAGGTTTCTGTAGTTTTATTTCCTTTAGCCCTTAGGGCAAAGCCTTCTCATCCAGAGTGAATTCTTGCCAAATAGCAGCACTACTCTCATTTTATGGGCCCTGTCTTTTTTTTCTCCACCTTCACTCATTTCACCCTCTCTCCTATCCCCCCTTCTGGCAATCTACTAATCTGTTCTCTATCAGTTTTTTATTCAATTCTACATATAAGTGATATCATACAGTATTTGTCTTTTCTGATATATTTCACTTGACATAATGCCCTCAAGTTTCATCCACATTGTTGCAAATGGCAGGATTTCCTGCTTTTTTGTGGCTGAATAATATTTCATAGTATATATATGTGTGTGTGTGTGTGTGTGTGTGTATGTGTGTGTATATATATATTTCTCATATTTCTTCATAAATTCATCTGTTCATGGACACTTAGGTTGTTTCCATGTCTTGGCTATTGTGAATAATGCTGCAATGAACATAAGAGTGTAGATATCTTTCTGAGATAGTGATTTCATTTCCTTCAGATAAATACCAAGAAGTGGAATTGCTGGGTCACATGGTAGTGCTATTTTTAATATTTTGAGGAACCTCCATACTATTTTTTCATAATGGCTACACCAATGTATATTCCTACTGACAGTGCACAAGTGTTCCCTTTTCTCCACATCCTGATCTACACTTATTTCGGGTTTTTTGTAATAACCATTCTAACAAGTGCAACATGATATCTCATTTTGGTTTTGATTTGCATTTCCCTGATGATTAGTGATGTTGAGCACCCTTTCATCTACATGTTCACCTTTTGTATGTCTTCTGTGTCCATTCAGATACTCTGCCAATTTTAATCAGATTGTTTGTTTTTTGTTATTGAATTGTAAGAGATACTTAGGTATTTTGAATATTGACGTCTTTTTATTAAATATATGATTTGTAAATATCCTCTCTTGTTCTGAAGGTTTCCTTTTCATTTTGTTGATGGTTTCCTTTGCTTTATAGAAGCTTTTTATTTTGATATAGCCCCAATTGTTTATTTTTGCTTTTGTTGCTTGCACTTTGGTGTTAAATCTAAAAAATCATTACCAAGACTGATGGCAAAGAGCTCATCCTCTATGTTTTCTTCTAGGAGTTTCATGGCTTCAGGTCTTATGTCCCATTCTTCCATCCATTTTGAGTTAATTTTTGTGTATGGTGTAAGGTAGGGGTTCAGGTTCTTTCTTTTGCATATGATTGTCTAGTTTTCCAAACACCAGTGATTGAAAAGACTATTCTTTCCTCATTGTGTATTCTTGGCTACTTTGTCATAAATTAACCATATATGTGTGGTTTTATTTCTGGGCTCTCTACTCTGTTCCATCGATCTATGTATCTGTTTTTATGATAATACCATACTCTTTTGATTACTATAGCTTTGTAATATAATTTGAAATCAGGAATTGTGATGCCTCGAGCTTCATTCTTTCTCAAATTTGCTTAGGCTGTTTGGGGTCTTTTGTGGTTCTATACTAATTTTAAGATTGTTTTTTCTATTTCTATGAAAAAGTCCATTGAATTCTGATGGAGATTGCATTGAATCTGTAGATTGCTTTGGGTAGTATGGACATTTTAACAATGTTAATTCTTCCAATCCATGAGCATAAAATATCTTTCCATTTATTTGTGTCTTCTTCAATTTCTTTCATCAATGTTTTATAGTTATGGGAACTGTCTTTACATTTAAAAGTTTTCACAAGCATCATGTGGGTTCATGAGCATCAGCCAAGGAATATATATGTGCCATCTTCCATCAGCACTATGGAAGCACTGGGCTATTCAAAACTCAGTCAGAGGCAAGTGGTCTTATTCCATTTGCCTGACTCCAGAGACTTTCATGGACTTGAATTCCAAGTCTGATATACTGTTAAAAAATGAATTTCTCAATGAAGTAACCTGATACTCTATTTCTATATGACATCTTATTTCACATGGACTCTACAACTAATACACAATCATAGACTTAGAAAGGAAGAAACATCTTGTGGAAAGTTTTGATATATCTCAGAAAACAAAAGGAATTTACTAGCTCTCCGTGGACCCTCAGGACCTTTGGCTTTGCAACTGGCCTCTAGAGGGCGATCCTGCACAATCTGGAGGTCTTGTTGATCAGTATTATCTGCTCAGCCCCTCCTCCCTGCAGCTGGCTGAGTTCTTTGCAGACAAAGACTAGCGGCAAGAATCAGAAGTCGGAAAGCATCCAGGCTTATCTCAGCAGGTTTGGTGTTTTTATCTAAGCAAGAAACTCATCCAGCCTAATCTTCTCCACATTTTCTATTTCTAAGGGCTTGGTTTTTGCAGCCACTTTCCTGCCTGCTCAGGGGAGATTTTCCAGAAAAGACCTCATAGCATTTCCACTGCTCAGCCATGCTCCTGTTTCTCATCTCAACACTGGGGATTGTAGTTACCCTGAGTGAGTGTAATTTCATCTGGGTTTAAGGTTCTATAGATTCTGACTAAAATTACTTACTTTTCATGCCGAAGTCTGCACTGCTTTCACTGATATAACATTAATTTTTCAGGAGATGCCAGAGCCCAGTCAGTGACCCAACCTGATGGCCATGTCTTGGTCTCTGAAGCAGCCTCACTGGAACTGAGGTGCAACTATTCCTATGGTGCAGCAGTTTACCTCTTCTGGTACGTCCAGTACCCCCGCCAAGGCCTCCAGCTTCTCCTTAAGCATTTTTCAGGCCAGGACACCCGCGTTCCAGGCATTAAAGGATTTGAAGCTGAATTTAGGAAGAGTAACTCTTCCTTCAACCTGAGGAAATCCTCTGCCCATTGGAGCGACTCGGCTGAGTACTTCTGTGCTGTGAGTGACACAGTGCCTGGGACTGCAGGGGGAGCTGAACACAAACCACTCAGGGGAGTGGAGTTTTCAGAGACTCAAGATGCCTTCCTGTGGTATTTTGAACAATGTTTTATTGTATGATGGCAAATGAGGCAAAGAGGGCTGAGCAGAACCAGGTACATATATATAATCCTACAATTCCATGTCTTATAAACTTTATTTCAGAGGCTTTTTGCTCTTTCTAGAAACTATATAATACTAAATAGTCATTATTCGAGAATGATGGAGGAGACTGTGTTCTTATCATATAATAATCAGTTGCTCAAGGCCCTGCCTTGAGGTTGACTGCTTTAAGGAGTTGACTATGTGGGTTTGCATTTATCATTTTATCTCTCAATCAAGTCAGAAAAGAAAAAATCAACTCCTCATGTTCTTTCCCCGTAAAGGTTACCTCTTTGTCTACTTGATCATTCACAGACTTTCTTGGAATTTTTTCCCTACGTCTCACTGTGCTGGCCACAATGCGTCAGAATATTTTCTCTGGGTTTAAGTACCTCTTTTTAGGAAGGATTATGAAAAATTATTGGTCAACAGTGTGCAATTGCTTAGGGCTAAGAAAAGTGTTATCATCATGTTAGTTCTGGCAATTGGTTAAGAATAGTGCAGGAGAGGGACTGGCCCAGGCGCATAGTGGTTGAGTTTGTACACTCCGCTTCAGCTGCCTGGGGTTCACAGGTTCAGATCCCAGGAGCGGACTTAGCATCACTCATTAGGCCATGCTGTGGCGGCATGCCACACAAAATAGAGGAAGATTGCCACAGATGTTAGCTCAGTGACAATCTTCCTCAAGCAAAAAGAAGAAGATTGGCAACAGATTAACTCAGGGCCAATCCTCCTCACAAAAAAAAAAAGAAGAAGAAGAAGAAGAATAGTGCAGGAGAATGAAGATTCATAATTCACCAGGATTTTTTCAAAGATTTTTTTCCCAGTTATGAAAGTATCTTCCTATTCTTTTGGTATTTTAAATTCCACAAATCTGCATCAGAAATTTGTGGAATTGGTCTCTTTTGCTGCTTCCAATCATAGACTTTGTTCTCATTGCTTTTACCCTGTTCTTTCATGTTTTCACTATTGGAATATTAGAGACTGATTCTTATGTGTTAACTTTGTCATAATTAAGCATGTAATAAGTTTAACAATGCCAAACTCTGCTAGAAATATTAATAAGAATTGCAGTGAGAGCCAGCCCTGGTGGCCTAGTGGTTAAAGGTCTGTCCTCACCACTTCAGCAACTCAAGTTCATTTCCAGGTCACAGAACCACACGCCTGTCTATCAGTTGCCACGCTGTGGCAACAACTCATATAAAAGAACTAGAAGGACCTACAACTAAGATAAGCAACCATGCGCTGGAGCTTTGGGGAGGAAAACAAGAGGAAGATTGGCAACAGATATTAGTTTATGGTGAATCTTTCCCTGCAAAAAAAAAAAAAAAAAAGAATTGCAGTGGATACTAGGGGGTCACCAGAACTAGTATAAACTTAAGGCTCAGTATAACTTTTTTGTGTAAGATGAAAAGAACCATATAAGAATAAGTTATAGTCCTTGTTTTCTTGAAGCCTTGGAGGAGCACAAATACTCTGGAGAAAGAAGAGAAGTAGGAGGGGGAGCTTTCTAGCTGCTATTTGGCTTACACTATAATGCATAAGAATATAGATGAATAGGAGTCCATAAAATATAGAGAGAATAAGTAGATTGTGACCAATATGTGGATTGTAACTGATTTAGCCAAATGGTGAACCAGGAGATCAACAGTAATTTTTAGGACACAGTGATATGGTTATATGTAATAAACGTGTTTGAGTGATTGCTGGAAAGTAAGGAAAGTAAACAGGGTGTTAAAGACATCAAATTACTAATAAGAAATGCAAACTCATTTACTATCCTTCTCTCTCCTCCCCCTTCCTTTCTATTTTTGAGCCATACTCTCTTTTACCTCTGACTATTTTCAGGTGATTCCTTGTCATCAGCTCAACCACATTGCCCCCAAGGACCACGAGGGGCGCTTCATGCAGATTGGTGTGAGAAGGAGAACTACCAGCTTCTGATTCTGGACTCAAGCTGAATCTGAAGAAAACAAATTCTACACCAAGGACCCTGTAGGGATCAGAATTTGCCACCTCAAAATGTGTCTCTTTGGGCTGGCCCCATGGCCGAGTGGTTAAGTTCATGTGCTCCACTTTGGCGGCCCAGGGTTTCGCCCGTTCAGATCCTGGGCGGGGACATGGCACCGCTCATCAGGTCATGTTGAAGTGGCAGCCCATATAGCACAACCAGAGGCACTCACACCTAGAATATACAACTACGTACAAGGGGGCTTTAGGGAGAAGAAAAAAAAGATTGGCAACAGATGTTAGCACAGGTGCCAATCTTTAAAAAAAAACAAGAACAAAAAATGGGTCTCTTTAGCTTAATTATTTTTAAGAACAAAAGACACAGGAAGAAACTTTGACATTCCCCAGAACTGCCTAGAAGAATTCAAGATAAAAGACCTGTTTCAAGAAGAAGCTATCACCATAGATAACTGTAGTTAATATGAACTAGATGTGATAGACAGAGAGGAACCCAGCAAGGCCCATTTCTTCAAAGTCTTCCCAATGTCCTATTTTTCTTTTTTCAAGGTACGGCAAACATTTATTTACCAAACATTTGCTTTTCAATCTCCATGCGAATTGCCTTCCTCTCCTTGGAAGACGACCCAAACCACTATGCCCAACATTCTCCTTTGTCTTTAGCTAAAGATGATATTTCAGGTGGTGGATTTGACAGTTACTCAGATTTCCTGGGTTTCTCCCATGTATAAAGGTTATTAAACCGTGTTTGATTTTCTTCTGTTATTCTGTCTCATGTTAGGATTCAAATAATCCTAGACTGACCAGAAGAACCGAGAGGGGAAAAGAATATTTCTTCCTCCCCCAGGCAGCTGGGAGATCATGCCCCTACCTCCCCAACCTATCTGTACTGAGAAATCAAAGCAATCTTCCTTCCTCCCTTCTTTCCTTTGTTGAGTAATTAATTCCTTATTTGTATTATATGATTTCTATGAGCAATTTTCTACAATAAAGAATTGTATTAAGAATAACATGGAAATCCTGAGTTATTTTATCAATGAAATCAATAACTCTGACTTTTCGTGTAATTAACTGGTCTTACTTCATACCCCACCCCTCAGAAGCAGCTGGCCTAATTGAAAGATGGAACAGCTTACTGAAGACTGAGTTACAGTGACAGTTGGGAGGCAACACCCTGACAGGGTGGGCTTTGTTTAACAGGATTCAGCACGTGCTTTGAATCAGGGACCGTTAATACAGGTTGCTGTTCGCCATATAGCTAGAATATGTGGGTCTGGGAATCAAAAGGTTGACGTGGGAGTGGCTGTTCTCACTATTACACCTAATAACCCACTAACAGACTTTTAGATTCCCAATCTGGCAACTTCATGCTGTGTTGACTTGGAGATCTTTCTCCTAAGGGAAGAATTCTTCCCCCAAGGGACAAAAAATATCTCCACTCAATGGATGATGAGACGACCTCCTGGACATTTTGGGAACCTTAGTCATTGAACAAACACGGAAGAAAAAAAAATCTGTTGGCTGGAGTGATTGATCCTGACTAACAAGAGGACTTTGGGTTGCTTCTGTACAGTAGAAGTGAGCAATAATATGTTTGGAGCCTCTTAGTCTTTTCATGCCCAATGGCAAAGCTAATGAAAAATTGCAGTAACACAAAACGAAACAGAACAATTGAGGATGCATATCTTTCTGGAATAAAGGTTTGGGTCACTCAACCAGGCAAAGAACCCAGACTAGCCAAGGTTTTGGCTGAAGGCAGGGGAAGTAAAGGGTAGAGATGGATGAAGGAAGCCATAGATATCAATTCCAGCCTTATGGCCAACTGCAGAAACAAAGACTATAGTACTTTTGCATGTTTTCTATTTGATTGTTGTATATGTATGTCCTTATTTGTATATGCTAAACATTTTCTTATCATCTTCCCATTTTTATTTTGTATACAAGTTATTGGAAATTAACTTTACAATTTAGTCTATAGGTAACAGAATTTTCAGAAGGACTGAATTTGAAGAGTTATTAATATAATCAGTGATGGCACAATTGCAACTGTGTATCTCCTCATTTTGGGGAAATGATGAGAAGTTCTTTACTTGTAAGAAGGGCAGCTGTATCTTGAAGGAGTTAGAAATACAGAGCTATTTTACCGATATATGTGTTTCAAATGTGTGTAGAAGGTTGCATACAGAAGCTGAGTGTCGAAGATGTGGATTGATTTATTGACTTTTAGCTCCAAATTCACCTTTGTAGTTTCTCTCTCCTCACTGGACCAAACTGATTCATTCACCAAGGAACTCAAGAAGCCAGAGAGCATCCCCTGTCTCCCCACCCCAAGTCTGCCTGAGAAATCAAAGTAAATTTGTTTATTGTTTTAATTATCATTTTATTTATTTATATTATTATTATGCAATTATAAGAAACTTCCGATAAAAATTATATTAAGAAGAATTTGGAAATACATGAGCTATTGTATCAATGAATGTGGTTTAAGTTTTTCACATTTTGTGCATATTTGACACAAAATTTTGTTATACCACAGCTACAAATTGTAATCAGTTTTTAAAGGTATTTTATCTAACTTAAAACACAAATAAGCATTCATCCACTAATGAGAATGTGTCTGAAGATTGTAATTCCAAGTCACTTTTCTTGCATGTAGCTCCCTTAATACATCCTTATTTCTCACTTTTTATGTCTTTAAAATGGGATTGGAAGGCAAAGATAATTTTAAAATAATCTGAAGACAGAATACTTCTATCACCTGAGCAGATTTCATGTGTCCCTTTCCAGTCAACCACCTCCTGAAGACAATGGCTATTCTTATTGCTATTACCATAGCTTTGTTTTGACTAATTTAGGACTTCAAATCAGTGGAATCATATGACAGGTACTCTTTTGTGCGTAGTGTCTTTCACTCGACATGATACATGTTCTCATGTGTACTAGTCATTTATTACTTTTTTATTAGTGAGTATCCTATTATATGAATATATCATAATTTGTTAACCCATTCAGGTGTATCCACCACTGCCTAGACACAGGATA